TTTATCACACAAGGATGACATATTTTGTCAAATGTCTTTTTCTGTGCCAGTTGAAATGGTGACATGTTCTGTTAGTAGGATGTATTGCATTGATTGATCTTCCTCTTTTAAACCACCTGTGCACTCCTGCAATTAGCCACAGCATATAATTACTTTAATATGATGCTCAACTGGGTTTTCGAGTGTTTCCTTGAGGATTTTTACATCTAGGCTCATAAAGGAGGAGTGTGTAGCTCTCTTTCCTTGTGCTCTGGCTTTGATATCAGAGTTAATTTTGACCCTGATACAATTAAAGGAATGGCACTGAATGTTCTGTAGGTTGCTTTGGATTAGGATTGAAAGGGTCCCTCCTCTTCTGTTTTTGGAAGAGTGTGAGGATTAATCTTCTATAGATGTGGGTAGAATTCACCCACAAGGCCTCCTCGTCCTGGACTTTTCTTTGCTGAGAGACCTTTATTGTTGATTCAGTATCTTTGATTTTTGCTCTGTTGAGATTTTCTATTTGTACTTGAAGTAATCTGTGTGTTTGTGTGAATTTGTCCGTTCTATCTGGTTTATCTAATCTGTTGCCATACACCAGTGCATAGTATTCTCTTGTAATTCCTTTTGTTAGTTTGAAGCCATTAAGTTTTGTTTCTTTCTGATTTTGAGAATTCGGGTCTTTTTAGTCAAGCTGTAGGTCTTTCTGTTCTGTTGATTGTTTTAGAGAATCTAGTTTGCGTTTTGCTGTTTCCCTCCACTGTTCCTTTATTACTAATCTTTATGATTTCTTTCCTTCTGCTAGCTTCAGGCTTGGTTTTCTTTTTCTACCCATATGAACTTTAACATTAGCTTTTTAATTTCTACAAAGTAGTCAGATGGGATTTGATGGTGATTGTGTAGAATCTGAATCAATCTCGGAAATTTTTCATCTTCAACATGAAATCTGGCATCCTTGAATTTGCAGTATCCTTCCATTTATCTAGACTTACAAATTTCTTCCAGCAATCTTTATATCAGAAATCGGATTTTGTACTTTTGTGTTACGTATTTACAGAAGTTTTTGTTTTGTTTTGGTCTTGGGGATTGAACCCAGAGCCACTTAACCACTGAGCCACATCCTCAGCCCTTTTCATGTTTTTTTTTTTTTATTTAGAGACGGGGACTCACTAAGTTGCTTAGGGCCTGGCTAAGTTGCTGAGGCTGGCTTTGAACTTGTGTTCCTCCTTCCTCAGCCTCCAGAGCCTCTGGGAAGCAGCTTCATTAGCAGGGCTTCGGGTGGGTTCTGCCTTGTGGAGGTGGCACTGGTCACCTGCACAGGTAAACGCCAGTACAGCGCAGCTGTGGCCACCACCTCTCCTGGCCTCACAGGGAGTGGGGCTGCAGCCCCCCAGGAGTCCTAAGAGAAGTCCACTGAGCAGGTGTCATCTGGGGGACAGGGGAAGGGACAACAGCATGGGCGGGGACGAGGGTGGCAGAGAAACAGAGGGTCGGTGTGTTTCCAGTGCCAGCGGGGCCACCTCATAAGTCTCCACAGTGCAGCTGAAGGCCTGGTGGTACGTTTAGCCAGCAGGGGGGTGGGTGTTGGGGGATGGGGTGGGTGTTGGGGGATGGGGGGGATCGCCCCACCGCCCCTTCAGCCTCAGCTCCCCAGCTGCTGCGTGTTGCGGGTGTGCACTTGAGGGCCGTGTAGACAGTCCACACGGCCAGGGAAGCTGCGCACACACCCACTCACAGTGGACACCACGCCCGCCGTTAGCCTTGGTTTAGAGGCTCACGCCCCCGCTAGCAGCATGCTCGTTAGGATGGGTCGGCCATAGTGCGTGTATTTATGTTCTATTTTGAACTCGGGGAGACAGTTGTGTGTTAATAAGTAACAACTATAATTGCTGTTTTCTCTTAATAACAAAAATGGTGTGGATAGCTAGGAATTAGGGAACTAAGACACTTTCCACGTTTTGTATGTTACCTTGTTTTCAAAAAAAAAAGAGAAATTATCAGCCCCTAAGTATTTATTATGTGTTGTGTAGACTTATAAAACATCCTACAGCACAAGTCCTCATTATACTTTTTGGTATTGCCGTTATTTACAGTGCCTAATTATCTTGTTTGTGTTACTGTGATTTTTTTGACAGATAATATAGAAGTTTCCACACATATATCAGGAAATTCAATCTTATAGAGAGAAAATGAGACGGTTATCAACGTGTTGCATAATCAATTTAATTCATTTCAGTTAAATTCTTATCTTTCATACTCTTCTTTTACGTAGCCACATGCATCATGTAGCTTCGAGGCTAAACATTAGGCAGAGGCAGGATATGTGTGTGCAGCCATAATGAGCTTGCTTTTCAATACGAAGGAAGATTAGAATCGTATTAAATTGCATGTTAATGGAAAAATAAAGCAGAACAGAATAGGAAGACAATTGGGGCTGCTGTTAAGTCTGGATCACAGAACACAGTTCTGCTCTTTATCGGTTGAATGTTGAGTTTCCTTTGGATCTTGCCCTTAATTACGTTAAGTATAATACATCCTGAGTGTTCCTCGCCATGGGAAGCAGGGCTGTGGTCAGGCTGACCGAGAGGCCAGAGGGCGCCTCCGCTACATCACAGGCAGCCCTTGGAGTCACGGGTGGGGCACCCCCGCTGGGGCATTCACTGTGACAGGTGCAGGCTCCAAGGGCGGACACGAGCGGCAGCTGACACGCGCCCAGGGCCCTCGGGATTCCTGCAGAAGTGCTGGGTGCGTCTCTGCTGGGGGGTCCTGTGCCTGGGACACAGTCCTCTTCCTTGTCACACATTATGGCTCTGAGCTGGCTGGACACGTGCAGTCCTGGGACTTGAGGCAGGGACATGTTTAGGCCAGGTCTGGGACTGGTCACCCAGCACAGGTTTCTCTCAGGTGAGGATGCTTCGCTGCAGAGGCTGCCCGGAGCATGAGGGCGGACCTGCGAGAGAAGCGGACCGCTTTCCTTTTCCTTTCCCGTGTCCATGTGTGTGTGGCTGACAGCGGGAGTATCCCAGGCTGGGATGGAGCCCTTGCAGAGGAGCAGGTGAGGGGGTGTGAGTTAGGTGATGGAGCCCAGGTCCGAAGGAGGACCCCTGGAGTTTCTGTCTCTCATGTGACAAAGACCCTTTCTCGTCCCTGCCTGGGCCTCAGCCTCAAGGGCAGCATGCAGCAAGGTTGTCTGCAGCCTTCTTTGAGAACTAGCAGAGAGAGCTTCCAGCCTGGGGACAGAGGGGGAAGAACTCACAGAGTGACTTTGAGGAGTGGCAAGCAGCTCCATGCCTGGGGCACACGCCTTGCAGGGTCTGGGTGGGAGCAGCAGAGGCCAGGCAGCCATTGGGCACCCTTGGTTGTGGCCCACAGGCTGGGCCATGGGGAGCTGGCTTTCCAGAGCCCCTGACCTGGGATGGGGGGCAAGACCCCCTGGAAAGCTGGGCAACTAGAGCAGAGTGCTGGTTGGAGTCTGAGGACAGAAGGGGAAGCATGTCTGGCAAGAGCCATCAGGAGGCAGGCGCAGTGGTCCTGGGACAAGGCCCCTAATAAGAGAGGTGGGCAGGTAGGTGAGAACCGGGTAGGGTAGGAGGAGGACTGAGAGGCCAGGGAAGCAGCCAGAGAACCTGGCTCTGCTGGAGAGCCTGGGCACAAGGGGCACACCTCTGCCCTCAGGAAGGTGGCACAGAGTCCTGGAGAGAGACAAGGCACTGGGTCAGGGGTACCACCTTGCCTCCACTCTCCCCAAGGACAGACCCCATTCTTATGGGTGATGGGTTGGGGTCAGCAGACCCTGCCCAGGCTCCATCCCCGGGCCACATGCTAGCACCTGCCCCTGGGCCTTCTTTCCTCTGCTCTCCCCCAGCAATGAGCTTGAAGCCTGCACTTCCTGTATTTCCACTGGCTGCCAGAGGAGGCAAGGTCCACCCTGGGACTGAGAGGAGACAGTGGACAGCAGGGCAGAGGGAGTCAGCCTTCTCAGGAGCCCAGAATCCAGGCCCATTAGGGTCACAGACCCTGAACTTTTCCAACGGGTCCAGCGGGTTACAGTAACAAGGATTACCATCATATGCAGTGGCAGATGGGCACTGTGGCCATGCCCAGGACACAGTTCCCCATCTGGGGCTCAGTCCTACCCTGCAACTGGAGAGCAGTCCATCACAGAGGCCCCTCTGGCTCTGGCCCTTCACCCTTGGAAGTGGGCTGGATGGCCAGAGCTATCCAGGGACTGTCCAGGAGGCTCCCACACTGGACTGGTGGTGCCCCAGGATCAAACCATTCTTTACTTCATGGAGGGTTATTCTCAGTTCAAAACACATCTGAAATAGAAAAACCCCTGGTGAGCCCGTTTGGATCTCTCCCTCCACAGGCAGTCAACCACACAGGAAGGACCCAGGACACTTGTCCAACAGGAGGACAGGTGGGGGCTGCTTTCCAGGATAGGCCTGAAGGGGTGCAGCAACATCCCCCACCAGTCTCCCACGAGAGCCGGATGTCCAGGTGGAGGCAAGCTGGTCCTCAGCCAGGCTGTCCCTCTCCACAACCCAGTCCCCACACAGCACAGGGGTTGAGAGAGCCCCTGCATTGCTACCTGCCCAGTGGGCACGTGGCACTGAGCCCACAACCTCACAACGGATACACCAGTGTGTGACACATTAACTTACTAATTATACCAGTTGTTATTTTCCAAGCTGAAGGAAAACACCCCAATGCAAAATGGAAATGAAGCTTCTCCCCAAATTGTTATTATTTAATAACTCAAAACCTGTGGTTTGAGAGACCAGTGAACCTGCTAGACCTTAAACATGTCACTGCAGACCACCTCTCCCGAACATCAAGGTCCCTTTCGGTATCCCTCACTTTGCAGCAGTCAGTGGGAACTGGTGCTTGTCCACTGGAATGTTGGAGCTTGAAGGACAGTGGCTGTTGGGAAGAGTGGCACGTGCTGGGGGCGGGGGCTTCTACAGGGGACTTGTGGGGTTCCGTTCGAGCATTAAATGACGCCTCTCTTTCGCCCACAGACCAGCAGTACTCATGGTCCCCGACGCAGCACTTCGATGAAGAACGGTACTCCCCGGCTCCCAGGAACATGAAAGGCTTGTCTGGAAGCCGGAACCCGCCGCCGCTATGTGCAGGCCACACCTGTGGCGTGGCGCCCCCTGCCGACTGCGAGCACCCGCTGGACCACCTCCGCCACGGGCCGGACACGCGGCAGCCCTACCTGCTCAGCCCGGCGGAGAGCTGCCCCATGGACCACCACCGCTGCTCTCCGCGGAGCTCCGTGCACTCCGAGTGCATGATGATGCCCGTGGTGCTGGGCGACCACGTGTCCAGCAGCACCTTTCCCAGGATGCACTACAGCTCCCACTACGACACCAGGGACGACTGCGCCATGCCCCACCTGGGCGCCAAGATCAACCGCATCCCCGCCAACCTCCTGGACCAGTTCGAGAAGCAGCTGCCCCTGCACAGGGACGGCTTCCACACGCTGCAGTACCAGAGGGCCTCGACGGCCGCGGAGCAGCGCAGCGAGAGCCCGGGCCGGATCCGGCACCTGGTGCACTCGGTGCAGAAGCTCTTCACCAAGTCGCACTCCCTGGAGGGCTCTTCCAAGAACAACGCGGACGGCACCAAGGGCGACGGCCGGGCGGACGAGCACCACCACGGCCACCACGCCAGGCACGGCAAGCGGAGCCGCAGCAGGGAGCGGAAGCCCGAGGCCAAGCACAAGTCGGGCTCGAGCAGCTGGTGGAGCTCGGACGACAACCTGGACAGTGACAGCACGCACCGGGCGCCGAGCGTGGTGAGCAGGCACCACCTGGACCCCTTCCCCCACTGCTACCCCGAGGCCCTGCAGAGCCCCTTCGGGGACCTCTCGCTGAAGACGTCCAAGAGCAACAACGACGTCAAGTGCTCCGCCTGCGAGGGCTTGGCCCTGACACCGGACGCCAAGTACATGAAGCGGAGCTCCTGGTCCACGCTCACCGTGAGCCAGGCCAAGGAGGCCTACCGCAAGAGCTCCCTGAACCTGGACAAGCCGCTGGTGCACCAGGACATCAAGCCGCCCCCGCGGCAGTGCCACTACCTCCAGGTAAGGGCCCCCCAGCGCCTGGCCCAGGGCGGCGCTGGTGGCTCTCAGTGGGCAGAGTCCATGAAGGTGCCTGCCGGTAGGCTCTCGGGACCCACTCGCTGTGGGCTGAGCCAGGAGCCTGGGTCCTACTCTTGGCCTGTTTTTATTTTGACACATTATTTGTGCAATGTGGGAGGCAGTGGGCAGCTCCATGCGGGTACACAACAGGTAATGATCAGATGGGGGGCAAGCTCTTCCGTGTCTCAACATCCACCGTTTCTGTGGGAACCGGCCGGCTCCTCTTTTCTACCTGTGTAGAGTGTAGATTATGGTCATGACCGTCACCTGCTGAGCACACACTGCAGCTGCGCTCCGTCAGGGCACTCTGGAACTCCTGTCCACCTGGAGTCTTGGGTCCCATGCCCAGCCCCACTGCTGGTAGCCAACCTTCATGGCTCTCGGCGCCGGCATGGTGAGACCAGGAGGTCTTGTCCTGGGCCTCACCCGTTGCACTTAGCTGGTGCCCTCCTGGTTCACCATTGCTGCAGGATGGGCCTCTCTGCTGAGGCTGAGGCTCTTCCCTGTGTCAGTAGGACCACGCCTTCTCTGCCCACCCGGCCCTGGACTCTGCTCCTCGCCATCCTGGATGCTGTCACGGTGCTGCCGGGATGGCGTCAGTTTTGACAGGTGGCAGAGAGGTGACCTCAGGCCCTTCTGGGGGTCTCTGAGGCCCCCGGCTGCTCCCTGGAGCCACTCCACACCATCGCCATTCCCTTGGGACCCCCAGGGCTGGAGGCCTTGGACACAGCAGCAAAAGCACACCTGCCTTCACAGGAGCCGTGGGTATGGGAGTCGCCCCTGGCGGAAGCCTGACCTCCACGCCCACCTCCTGCCCCTGGGAGTGGCATCCCTGAGCCCCCAGGCAGGAGGTCGGACTGTGGGGAGGAGTCTGTCCCTGTGGTGCTGATGAGATGAATTCACAAAGGCAAAACAAACTGCAGACAGCGGCTGGCGAGAGCTGCACACTGCAGACCTCTGTGCGTCAGGGACGCCTCCCTCTCCTCACCCTGCTGTCACCAAGAAAGCAGATCGGCCCTGGAGGTGCCTGCTCCACTGAGGATGCAGGGCTCAGAGGCTGTGGGCTTGGCATCAGGCTGATACATGTCACCACAGGTCCCCTCTATTGCCTGAGAGCAGGTGCAGCGGCCAAACGCTGCTTCAGGGAAATGCTCCTAGCACAGAGTCACCCTGCTCACTGCAGTGAAGTCACCAGGCAGCCACCTAATGGGACAGAAGGACAGCTCTGCCTCTGTCCAGGAGTGCCGAGTTGGCAAGCCCTCCCCATGCCAGGCTCAGGGGCTCTGTTCTGAGAGGGGAGGTACCCAGTTGCTAGCAGGGCAGATTTATGCAAAGAGACAGATTGGTTGTTGCATAAAACATTATTTATAGCAGTGGGAGAGACTTATGCTTTGATTGTCCTTGGCCGGCCTCGATAGTATCCAAGGGTAGAGACTTGTCTGCTTATCTAAAGGACCGTGGTGACTAGAATGGGGTCCAGAAGCAAAGCTCTTTGTTTTTTTTTCCCACTTGAACCTGAGACACCAGTAGATGGGTGCTCCTGGACACTAAAGGTCGGTGGCACAACAGTGACGTTGCACTAGGTCCACGTCCCTGCCACACCTGCTCAGCAGTGTCCTGTGCTCTCAAGTCTACCTGCGGCCGCCCCCATGGCCCACACTGTCCTCCACCCTCCGGCCGCCCTTTCGATCCTGTGGCGGAGGCAAGGGCCACACACACGTCCAGGGCACAGGTAGCATAAGGTCCCAGGCCCTGTGGCCACCATCAGTTGAAGCAGACCCCACATCTCACACAACTGCCACAGCAGACGTTCCCATGTTTGTCCCTAAAAGGTCCACGCTGAACGACGAGGTCAGATGGTGACTCGCAGCCATGATACAGGAGCAGACACTGAAGGCAGAAGCTCTGCAGCATTAGGTCACGCTCGCCTTCCCCAGCTCCAGCCTCTCCTTCCCAGTTTGTTTGAGCAGGGACGCCATGAGGGCCTCTTGAACCTCCCGGTCCACAGGTTTCTCCTCTCTTCCTCTCTTCCCACCCTGGAGGGTTTGGTTTTTAAACTTCATAGGCAGCATGCCCCCTCGGCCCTGCTGCTTGGGCTCTGATCATGGTGTCCAAGGTCCAGTTCCGTAGGTGGGTGGAAACCTGCCCAGGGCCTGCAGTCCCTGCACTTCTGCACTGGCCTGGCTGGGCCGCCTGCCTGTGGGCCTCCTGCTCCCTCTGCCATGCTCCCTCCATCTCTCACAGGGGTCAGTCATATTTTTCAGCTGTCCTCTACGAGCCTCAAGGGGAGGAACAGTGTCGATCTTCCCCCCACCTTCTGGGTCTCTCCACTGTCCCCTGCAGCTGGACGGCACCTGAGAGCAGCTGGTGTGTGCCCCTGTGGTGGAGGGCAGGCAGGTGGAGTCGTGGTCTTAGATGCGTTTTCCAGGCTTCAAACATCATGTCTTTTATAGAACAGGAAGCTGCTCTGGCCCTGGGAAGAGGCCACGCCGGGGAGCACGCACACCTCCATGGCAGACCCCTGGTATCAAGTGGCCCTGCACGTGACAGGGAGGACGGCCCCCACACCCTTCCCCCCTGAAGACTCTGGTGCCTCCGTAGCAGGCCTAGCCTGGCGCCAGCCTCCCTCCCACCCCAGCTGGGATGACACAGGCCACAGCCAGGGGACACTGCAGCAGCAAGGAGGCTGGGGGCACCCCAGGAGGCCACGCAGCTTCCAGGACGGCTCTGCCGCCTCCCTCGGCAGCAAGCTCTCCCCTCTCCGCCTCTCAAGGAAAACAGGCACATTCTGGAGGCAGCCCAGTGACTGTCCCTTCTCATTGTCCTCTGGAGGTCACGCAGGCTCGCTGGGCAACACTGATGAGGACGCAGCACGGATCACGCTCCATCTCCTCGGGCTGCGTTTGTCCGAGCGCTCGGCTGAACTGGTTGTCAAGGACGCCCGTCCGCGGTTGGTCCCTGCTGATTGCAGGCAACTTCCTGGTGGAAGATAGAGGTGTCTGGGCTCACGCAGAACACAGGGAGCTGGAGGAACTGGGCTGCGGGGGCTCCTGTAGGAGTGGGCCAGAGGAGGAGAAGGGAGAGTGGGTGTTAGTGCGCGTGTGGTGAGCACCGCTAGGCCTCGTGGAGAGCTGAGGCTCGGGCTGGCAGCGACCCCGCGTGCCTCCTGCCTTGGTGGGTAGTGCTCACAGCTGCACTCCAGGAAGAGTCCTGACCTCCATGGGTCCAAACAGGTGAGCAGAGGGCCACGGGCAAGGGTGGCCTGGCTGCCCCTTCACAGTGCTCCTGAGTCTGCGTCTTCCGCTTCAGTGGAGAGAGGTCCGTGGCCGGGGAGACGTGTTCCCTGGCCCACCTGTCCTCTGTTCGCCCCAGTTGGCCTCCACGTCCTCTGCAGTGTGGCCCCCTGACCGCCACCCGCTGTGGTCTGTGTCTGCCCTTGCTGGCCACTGCCAGGAGTGGGACAGTGGACCCCAAGAGGCTCCACTCCTGGGCCTCCGAGGAGCCTCCAGGCCGGTCTCCAGTGCACCTGGTCCAGGTCCCACATGGGTGCAGACACGGGTGCAGAGCCGCTCTCCCGCCTCTGGCGTCTGCGGTCGGACTGTTTGGACAGCAGCGATGTCTCTCGGTGGCTTTGATTGGCATTTCCCTGAGGACTGACGGTGCTGGGCACTTTGTCAGGCACTTGTCTGTCTGATTGAGGGACGCCTTCCCTCCACAGGACCACTTTTCTCAGTTCCTCCCTGGTTCTGGTGTTCACCCCTCATCAGACGGTGAGCTGGAAAGCTTCCCTCCTATTCCTTAGTCTGTCTCCTAGTCTGCAGAAGCTCCTCGGCTTCTATTTGTCTATTATTGCTTTGGTTGCCTGTGCTATTGGGGTCTTTTAAAAGAAGAAAAACCATTGCCTGTACCCATTTTGGAAGTGCCTTCCCTGTTTAGTAGTCTTGGTGTTCCGGGTCTTACATTCAGGCTTTGGCTCACTCGGAGCTGATTTCTGTGCAGGGGGAGAGACAAGGTCTTTCCGTCCTCCTGCTCTGGAGGCCAGTCTTCCCACAGGGTCTGCCTCTGGCACGTTGGCCTTCGTTCTGTCCACTGGTCTGTAGGCGTTTGTGACTGCCGCCTGCAGTCTTGGTTACCCCAGTCCTGCAGTAGGTGTGCCTGGAGTCGGGGGCCTGGGTTATTGATCTCAAGGACTTTGACTGTTGGGGGGTCTGGTGATTCCATGGGAACCCTGGGATGTTCCTCATTTCCTGGAGAATGCCGTGGCTGTTGATGGCAGTTACGTTGAGTCAGTAGGCTGCTCTGGGTAGGATGCTCATGACCAGTTTCCTGCCCTCAACACGGGAGTGCGTTCCACTTCTGTGTCCTCTCCAACTTCTTCCTCCGTGTCTTATCATCTTCCTGGTGGAGGCCCGTGTTCCTGGGCCTGTGACTTCCCTCTCAGCGAGCTCCTCCTGGGGAGGACCACGTGGGTGGTTTGCATGCCACCTGGCTGAGCTCACTTACCAGCCACCACCACCGCTTGGTGCTCAGGTCTCCCTCTGCTGAGGACCCGGTCAGCTGCAAGCAGGGATAGTCTGGCCCCTTCTCTGACTGGATGCCTTCATCTCCTCCTCCCCCCGAGGCTCCTTGGTAGCTGTGCGGTGGCTGCGGCCACGCTGTGTCCTCCTGTGGGTATGTAGTTCTCTCTGTGGTTATGCCCCGTCTGGTGCTGGCCTCGGGGTCATGCTGGCCTCATTGAATGCCTTGGTTCAGTTGTTTAGAAGGGTCTGGGCCTTCGTTCTTTAAATGTTTGGTGGAATTTAGGAGCGAAGGTCTCGCCTGGGACACGTTCATGGCTGGTTCCCCGAGTCTCCTGTCGCTGGACTAATTCAGGTTTTCTGTCCCCAAGGTTGAATTTTTACCTTGTGACCAGATCCATCCACTTCCACCAGGTATGGCAATTT